GCGATAATGTAAGGAGCCTGCAAACGACGTCTAGTGTCAAACATGCATTTTCTTCATGAGTTACAAAGCAGGAGTTTAGGTCGTCCAAATCAGCAGCATGAGTTCCCTGCTATTTCGAAGAATCATGTAACCATTGCAATTGCGCGAGAACTGAAGGGCACCTGCATTGTGAATGAACAATGAACATGTGCGAAACATAAAATATTTTAACTTACAACAAAGATATAATATATTAAAACTTCAACAAATCAAAATAAAAAAAACATTAAATTGTCAAATATTATTTTGCGATCATGAAAAAGAGTCAATCATTAATACCGGATACAAGCATTTTCAGAATTTGTGACAGAATACTCCGAAAACAATTAATCTGCATTTAAACCCAATTACAGGGGTTGGACAAAATAAGGGAAACTCCTGACATTTTGATATCTTAATATTTAAACATGTTATTAACAATGAAAACGTGACATATTTTCGTATTTTATTGTTGCTGCAAATGGATATTTTATTCTTGCACAAATATTTTAGTGCAAATTTTGTGTCTATTACCTACCCTGTAACCTATAAATAACAAGCCTCTCTGACTTTCAAAGAGGCCAAACTGTTAGTGCCCGCATGTCAGGTGCTAGTGTGACAGAAACTTCAGGAATGCTTGACGTTTCTAGAGGTACTGTCTCAAAAGTAATCGAATTGTGAGGGGCAATCGAAAGCCCACGGCTGTTAAAATTACTGCAGACCTTAACCAACACCTAAGGAACCCAGTTTCCATAAAGACTCCGCCGAGAGCTGCACAGATCTGGGTTCTATGGAAGAGCCGCAATTTGAAACCTCTGGTTTCAAATACAAATGCTTCAAAGCGTTTAGAGTGGTTTAAACCCCAATAAAATTGATCTATCGAGCAGTGGAAAAATATGATTTTCTCTGAAGAATCATCGTTTACTTTATTGCCAATCTCTGGCCGAGTTTTCGTTTGGAGACAGCCAAAAGAGTCATTTAATCCCAACTGCCTCCTCCCAACCGTAAAACATGGCGGAGGATCTGTGATGATCTGGGGTGCTATTTCTTGGAAATACAGCGGACCAATTATTTCTCTTCATGGAAGAATCAACAGCCGTGACTATTAAGGAATTTTGGAGGACCAATTTCATCCAATGCTTCAAACACCGTTTACTGAGGGGATTAAATGCTTCCTATAACTTTTACATGAATGTTGTTGCATTCGAAACGTCGTTAATAAATTAAAATTACTTCCTTAAAACCGCATTTTGATGAAGAAACATCAACTGAAAAATATTGTTCGATCATGAAAATTTAAATCAATGAATTCTCCGGCCATTACCAAATAACTCAGAATTTTTTCGCCGTATTAATTTTAAATTCGCCGTCGTATTACCGAATTTTTTTTAGACAATTATTTTTACTTTCGAGTCGATCGTTAATCAATATTCTCGAATGCTTCACGAATATCAGTTATAAAAAAAAATTGCACTTCACTATTGAAGAAAGACTGTAAAATTCTGCCTTAGTTTCAGGAAAAGCTTGAACAAGATGCATTAAACCCTTAAACTTGTTCACATACGATACAATTCTTGAATAAAAAGGCAGTTCTTACGAGTTACTAGTAACAAGAAACACTTCTTTCGAAACACGAGTAAAAAGAGTTCTTACATCTCGATTTGAAACTAGAATAATTAATAGATTTTCTTCAAAATCAACGCAGTTGATATTCTCGTAGGGTTGCCAGGCAAGTTAGTAGCGCTACCTTCGTCCAGAACGCGTGTTGTTGTCGACGCTACGCGAACAAAGCGCATAAGCTCGGCCATTAAACTTTACAAAACTTTGCTGGCAAGAATGAATAAGTTGGGGCTCTGAAAGCCATAACCTTCATCACGCATCGCAAAACTAGGTTATTCTCGAAAAATATTAATTGCCATTCAAGAATTTTGCTGCACGTTGGGATCGAACAAGATTGTTTATGCTAGCATTTTTAACAAACCTTAAGGGAACTTTATGAATGTTCATGAATCGATACAAAACGACTCCTGCTGAATCTCGCATGCAAATTTCAATTTTTACTACTAATTTTCGCCTCCAAATAAGCCAAAATTGGAGATACACTGAGATAGGATTCTACACTGAGATAGGATTCCGATATGCTGACCGAATACAGTTATGTTAACCATTGCAGTGACATTGTATATTAATGCCACTCGTCAAGCATTAATCGCGTAAGCAGTAAGGTTTATAATGAAATTTTTTTCAATACTGCGTGAACCATGAGTCATATATTGATAAGCGCAGTACAGATAACATAGAGAGGCAAATTAAGTCACTATGATGAATCTTCTGTCAGTTGAAGACGGAGTATCATCTTGTCTAATCGAACGCGTATCGCATTTACGATATCATATCCTTACGACCAGATAAAAATTACTATGATACGAAGTAGTAAAAATCAGAGATTAGGCCAGGGTTAGTCTTTAGATGCAAGTTGTGTGTGCATTCAAAAACAAGCGATGACACGAGTTAAAGGTTTCAGGTATTGATGTATTTTTAATATAGTGATATGTCGTCATCATTAAGCGATGACGAAGGTTCGATCATACATGATAAGATATTTTAAATCTTTTCTAGTCCATAAAATTATAATTTTGTCTGGAAGAACTCCAAAATTACAATGTCTCGTGGAAAGTTGATATGTGAAATACAAATTTGATTCAGTGAAAGCCATTTTTGAGAGTTCAATTCCTCCTCACTACCACACCACGTCGAGACATCGTTTGATATTTAACAATGTTCACAAACCCATTTTAAACGAATTCATTGCAACGGCTATATGAATCGCACGAATTCTAAGCTACGAAAAGCATCATACAAACGAAATTTCAATTGCTGTGGGTATCGCACGCATTTAAATACACGAAAAATACCAATTATATATATCAAAAGTTTTCAAGACTGCATGTATCACACCTCTTCGATGTGTTATCAGTAAAATTTTATTCGAATTCTGCATATTTCGTACAAAATCGATGCTAAGATATTAATTTAATCCATGAGAAGCCTCTATCGCTTACCGTCTCCTCTCTTCGTTCGTTCTACGACTGGAAACTTAAAACAAGTTTGCCAGGAATTTTTCCTGTCACCGCGGATAAAAACTTATTTTTACCACAAAGTTCCATACGAATTCTGGAGCGCGCAAAATCAACTTATATAAGGACAAAGTTGAGCGCATTTCGCGCTCAGGGCTCCAGCAAACTTGATTTTAATCAAACTTGTATTACCAACTTCCTGCCTGCCCTGATACATTCCAGTCACATTGAGATTAAATTTCGCTACATCCATCTTAGCAAAGTACATTTTTAGCTAGAACGAAATTTTCCATTGCGTTTGTAGATATAAAAGAAGAAATAAAACTACAACCTTTTATTTAAATACTAGATAGGCATAATTGCCGATTTTGAAAACAGGAGTGATTTGAAAGACGGACAATTTTGCAGAAGTTTGAATTACATAAAATGAGGAACTGAATTTTTACTTTTAAATTTCGTCGTTATCTCTGCTTAACATAAGGTTAACATACGATTAACTGTTCGCCGAATACATTATCTCAATATTTTTACACCTGAACATAATCTATCCAAAAGGCCATGAAGCAGTCAACTTGTATAGTTTCATACTTGACAGCACTTGACAGATAAAACATTCCTTATCTTAATCCGCATCAGAAACGTAAAAATAACTGCGCATGAAGAGATTTATTACACGTATTATCAGTGAGTGATAGAGGAACTATTTCCCCTAATGCACACGTAAGTTCATCATCAAAATATATTTTTGCAGATGAACTACAAAAATAAAATTAAAATGTATTATATTCGGATCTCATAGGAAATAAATTAATCGTTAAAACTACGTACATGACATGTTGAGAAGCAAAAAAAAATAAAATATAGAAATAATTCTCAAAGTGAAAAATAATAAAATAAAATTACTTTACAAAAACTTCCGTAGTATTTTTATGCATAATTTCTAAAAGAGTACCAAATTCAAAAACATGTTGGTTACAGTTGGCACAGCGTCATCAACAGGACGGGAGCAAGAGCCTTCACACCAAATTATTATTTCACATTCTTGAACACAATTCACTTAAAATGCAAAAACATTTCATTTATCTCACGGAAATATATTTCTGCACACACACAGAGATGGAGCCATGCAGTACAAGCGACCAACCCTCGACCACGGTGACCATCAGAGCGACGCTGTGCCTTGCGCTGCTCTACGGCGTCGCCTTGCTGAGCGCCCCGACCGTGTCTGCTAACGCTGCCATCAGAGGTACGTTGGTGGCTTGGTTCAATTAATACTTTAAGTAAATATTTATTACATAATACTTCAATTAATTATTAATAATACGTAATTAATAATACTTTAAATATTTAATTAATGTATTAGTTCAACCACAGATTTACCAATTATGGGCGCTAATTCAAAATAATTCCATATTTATTTCATTCGAAATATAATTCAGCCAATTATATTATATTGGACTGTATAAATATTTAAAATTCAGTTAGCTAGATAACCTTGTAATATATCCAAATTCAACATATATATAAAAATTAAATAATCTTCCGTGACCCATGTTTTTCTAAATCTGTTGTTCCATTGGATCCGACTATGAAATTCAATTTTTTTAATTCTAAATGCATTAACCATTAAAATTGCACCTTCAATAATTACAGCACTTGCCTTGGCTTTTATCCATTAAAATCACGAATTAAAATTACTCAACATAAAAATAATTATTTTTAATGTAGCGTTAATGTTTAATTAACGCTATTAATTAATTTAATATTAATTTCAATGTTATTGTTAATTGTCAGCGCCACCGCGAGTCGAGCTCGTGAGCCCCTACGTGCTGCTGACCGTGGGGCAGAAACATCGTTACTTAATTAATAATACCTAAATTAATTAATTAATGTATTAGTTCAACTATGGGTCTACCAATTATGAGCGCAAATTTCAAAATAATTTGATATTTTATTTCATTTGAACAACTGAAATTCAAATACCAACTGTATTGATGAGATCTTAAACTCATTCTAAATCATAATGCTGCTCGTGATATAGGACTGTATACATATTTAAAATTCAGTTAGTTAGATAACCTAATCATATATCCAGATTCAAAATATACATGAAAAATTACATAATCTTCCGTGAACCTTGTTTTCTAAATCTGCTATTCCATTGCATCCGAATATCAAATTCAAAATTTTTTAACTCTAAATGCGTTCACCATTAAAATTGCAATTTCAATAATTCCAGCACATGCCTTGGCCTTTATCCAGTAAAATCACGAATTAAAATTATTCCACATAATAATAATTAATGTTAATGTACCGTTAATATTTAATTACTGTTATTAATTAATCAAATGCTAATTGTAATGTTATTTTTGATTGTCAGCGCCGCCGCGAGTCGAGCTCGTGAGCCCCTACGTGCTGCTGACCGTGGGGCAGAAACATCGTCTCACATGCCCCATCCGAGGGTCACCCTCCCCCATCTATGAGTGGTTCAAGGTATGCTTATACCTCTGGGGTCAGCTTATACCTCTGGAGTCGGATTATACCTCTGGGGTCAGATTATAGCTCATGGGTCAGCTTATATCTCTTTAATATAATAACTATTCGATAAAATCTCTGATCGGTTCCTGCATACATCAATGTTCACTTAAATTTTCAATGCCGATAAAAAAAATTCTCGCGGTGATGCAGAACGTTTTGTCTTTCATAGCAATAAAATATTCAAGGCAGTGAAGGCACATAATACATAATATCGATAATCTTACCATGGCAGCACAAAACAGATAGCATATTTCATATGAAAACATAATGTATATAAGGCTAATAATAATCACGAACATGCCATAAGCGTTACAGACTTACAGGAAAGGAATCTAATTTCATAGCAAAACATAATTCAAGACACAAAATATCCAAGATCTTAGCACTGCGTAGCAGTACGGATAATGCTTTTCATAGCAAAATAAAATTCAAGATATATGACTAATATGAACATGTCACGGCGTAACATGATGCCTATAACCTTTCATATCGAAACATAAACATATCGATGCGCATGGCGAAGGTTGCAGGACGCATATCACATTTACCAGCGAACCAAAATTAAAGCGTGTCAAGAGAGTAGCATTAAGAAAGTAACGAAACGAAATAAGAGAATATAGCATTGAGAAAGTAACGAAACGAATCAAGAGAGTAGCATTAAGAAAGTAACTATATGAAAAATATAAAATATCGATGAACATGGCGCGGGCTGTAAGACTCATATCACACTTTCTAGCAAACCAAATTAAAGCGTATCAAGAGATTAGCTTGAAGCAAGTAATAAAATTAAAGAGCTATAACATCGATGACCACGTCACGGGCTGCAAAAGGCATATCACATTTCCCAGCAAACTAAAATTAAAGCCTGTCAAGCGAGTAGCATTAAGAAAGTATACGAAACGCGAGAGATATGATATCGATGAACATGGCGTGGGCTGCAAGACACGCATCGCACTTTCTAGCAAACCAAAATTAAAGCGTGTCAAGAGAGTAGCAGTAAGAAAGTAACGAAACGAAACAAGAGTATACCATAAAGAAAGTAACAAAATTAAAGAGATATAATATCAATGAACACGTCCCGGGTGCAAGACGCATATCACTTTCTAGCAAACCAAAATTAAAACGTATCAACAGAGTAGCAAAGAAAGTAACAAAATTAAAGAGATATAATATAGATGAACACGTCCCGGGTGCAGGACGGAGAAGACATCGCGTACTGGCACCGGTACGTGGACCGGGGCAACCACCTGAAGCTCAAGGAGGTCGACCTGCAGGACGAGGGCACGTACACCTGTAAGGCTGTCAACGGCTTCGGCCAGGAGAACTTCACCTTCCATGTCATCGTCGTTGGTGAGCAGTAATATAATGAATGAGAACTAAATCATTCTAAAGTCAAGGAATCAAGGAATGAAACTAAAATCATTCTAAAATAATACGAGAAATGAGACCTCATTTCACATTTCATTCTAAAATAATGTATGGAATGAGACCTCATTTTCATATTTTATTCTAAAATAATACGAGAAATGAAGCCTCGTTTTGCATTTCATTCTTAAACAATGCGAGAAATGAGACCTAATTTCCCATTTCATTCTAAAACAATACGAGAAATGACACCTCGTTCCTCATTTCATTCTAAAACAATAAGAGAAATGAAGCCTCATTTTGCATTTCATTCTTATAACAATGCGAGAAAGGAAGCCTCGTTTCCCATTTCATTCCAAACAATACGAGAAATGAGACCTCATTTCCCATTTTATTTTAAAAGCAATAGAAAAATGAGACTTCGATTCTCATTTCATCCTAAAACAGTTCAAGAAATTATTCCAAATTTTAGAGTCATGTATTTTAGACAATCAAGCTTCAAGGAATTCAGTATTGTAATTTTTTAGCGAGGTTCTACATTACGATTAAAATTTTAAGACAAGCAATGTTACTGAACAAAAAATTCCAAAATCTGGATGCTAAAAAATTTAATGAACTTAGAACTGTCGCAGAAATCGCATACATATACGATTCTATCAATATTTTAAATACTATAAATGTAATACGAATTTGCTAATCTTTACTATAAAATTTTGGTGCAGCAAGTAATCACCCACAATCTAACACATTTTAAATTAATTGTCAAAGGTGGGGAATATTATAGTAAATAAATGTTAACATCGTGCATTTAAATAATTTCTTTAATGTATTCAATAGTACTATTATTGCAGGAATTACTATATACCAAAGATAAACTCCCCAGACGCTTTAAAAACAAAAAGCGTATCTTCTAATCAAAGTTGTCATCTATCAATAGATATATTAATTAAAATAACTTGACTTGACTTGACTTAACAGAAGAAGACCTACCCACGGGTCATCAGCTAGTCCCTCCCACCCTGACCGAAGTGTCCCCATCGAGCCCCATCGTGGTTGAGCCTGGGGAGGAAGTCAACCTCAAGTGTTACGCTCAGGGATACCCTGACCCACAAATACACTGGATCAAGGTGGGTCATCCCGATACACTTGCAATTAAAGATGCTGTACTGTGATCGGAAAATACACTGCAGCGAGGTGAGTCAACTTCAAGATGCTTGCCATCAAAGATGCTTTGACCCGCAAAGACACTTGCCATCAAAGACACTTGCCATCAAAGATACTCGCCACCAAAGACACTTACCATCAAAGATACTTGCCATCAAAGATACTTGCCATCAAAGATACTTGCATCAAAGATACTTGCCATCAAAGATACTTGCCATCAAAGATACTTGCCATCAAAGATACTTGCCATCAAAGATACTCGCCACCAAAGATACTTGCCATCAAAGATACTTGCCATCAACGATACTTTGACCTGCAATTAAAGACTGTACCGAGGTAAGTCATCTTACGAAACGTGCATTCATAGATACTGTGACCGCAAATACAGCAGTGGTTTGCAAACTACGGTACACTTGTGCTACGCGAATACTTGTGGGGTAATGTACGATTTTAGCTACGTAGTTTAATTTCGAATCACAAAAAATATCTTAATCAAAAATTATCTGAGAACTAATATTAGCTGACGTCACATATCAAACAACAGGACTCAACGGCCGAACGTTAAATTCTGACAGTAAATGTTAATATACTAATAATTATGATCGCATTATGCAAGTTTTAATCTAGATATTACGGCATATTAGCTGTTAATGTTGTAACTATGGAGATCCCTCGGGATCAAAACCAAAACAATACAAAATCGTCTTTCTGCCTCCATTGCTAATTTACAGTCATGATAAAATCATATAACGCGGATTAAGAAGGGATCGTGGATTTACGCTCGCGATTGCAGAAGCGTGCCTGCGGCCGTAATTAGAAGTTAATCAGGGTACGGCCGAGCTTTTGTCAGAAGCTAGCAAGTCGCAAGACTTTCGCACAAGTTTTTTCGCTTCGTATGACTGACTCTTAACTTGGCGACGGCCCTTGGCTCTTCCCGCGAGACCAAACCCTTAATGGATTACCAAACTTGGCCGACCAAGAAACATTGTAAGTCTGTCCCAGAAAAAGACTGGAAAACTTTTAATGATCTTAATTGTGACGAGAATCTTTGAAGAAGTAAGGACCATAGAAGACTATAACCAGGTCTTTTCAAGCCGGTGTATGCGTGGCCGCCTGAAGCTGAGATAAGACTCATATATCTTGATTATAGTCTTTTTATGTATGCTATTTAACTGCGATTGCTCGTCCGCCATTGTTTTTTTAAGAATTATCCACAAGTTTTACAACCTAGTCATGATAAAAGGTTTCGATAACCGTAGAATGCGACACTCGGTCTCGCTTGCCTCGAATTCTAAAATTCAAATTTTGAAATATTGCATCGAATCGAAGCCTGCAAGAGCGTCGCATCTATACGAGAGAGAATCTGTTCCGAGTCCCTATTTCAAAAAGCAATAAAACGAGCTCATGAATAGATTCATGTGGCAAGAAAGCAAGAAGCACTTGTGCCATCAGTTCTACTATGCTATGAGGTAAAATTTATTGCGCACTGAACACTCGTAAGGTTAAAGTCTTGATTGACTTCTACAACTTGAGTAACTATCCCATTAAAAAATTTCGGCAATTATTTATTTTGAAACTTGTAAAATATCCAACCAGCTCATGATTTAAATTGAGTAAAACAAAAAAATTTTCAGGTTATTGAAATTGCAACCTAACATGACAAGTTTCAATACTAATAAAGTATGTTATTCATTAAGTGCAGACAAAGTTTAGGGCACTTATCTCTGAGTAATCTAAACAGGGGGCGGTTCTCTGACCTCAGAGTGCATATACACTCTTTGTTACGCTACTAGCATTGCGATGCATAGCAGCACATCGTCATCACAGCTGCTGCCTAGCACATCGTCATCACAGCTGCAGCCTAGCACATCGTCATCACAGCTGTCAAATGTCATTCCTAATTTTAGGATCAACTTTAGTACCGTCATAAGTACGTAAACAGAGCACAAACTACTGTTATGCGAGGTTGGATTACGGTCCTAAATTTAGAGTCTCAGTGCTTAATTAAAAATAGAGGCAACAAGCCTGCATATAAAATATAGTATATTTGTCACACTGAAAAACTAGAAACTGATCGCAATCTCATAATGATGAACATCGTTAGTGCTCGAATTCATTTCTATCCAGAGATGTTCGACTGAACTGACGCCAGTGAAATGAGCTTGTAATCAGCTAGAGGCTGCATTAACTGCAAGAGCAGGCTGCAACCTAAGTCAGCCAGCAAAGGCTGTAAGCTGAATTCACAATGTAGAGGCTGCATGTAGGCTAGACGAAGACTCAGCCAGCACAGGCTGTGGCCGCAGGCTGTAAGCGCAGGCTGCACACAGACTCAGCAAGCAGTCTTCGGAAGCAGAGGCTGCAAGCGCAGTCTGTATGTAAACTGTACCAGCCGCCTCTGCAAACAGAAGCTGCAGCTAGGCATGGAGCATCAGTTCGAGTCTCGTTAATCCTGTTAATTACGCGGAATTTTAGGACGTAACGCATGTTGGAATGGACGCTGTCGCCGCACGCTGTAATGCGTATACCAGATACGCCAAATTCACTTCACCAACATGAGCTTCGCCAAAATTCTGAGGCTGTGAGGTAGAATGAACTGCGAGTTCCTTGATAAAAATGAACGCAGGTAAAGCTGACGATGAGATACGTAACGCTGAAAAATATGGAGACATGCATGAATGATATTCTTGGTCCCGATGGTGTAGAGAATTGATGGTATGAATATTTTATTACTTTAGGCAAATGCATAGTAATGAAAGAAGTATATAGGACATTCGCGTGAACGAAGTATTAGTAGAATTAAATCTTTCCCGCAGACTAGTGGCTAGAATTAATTACTTCTTGCTGGTGAAAGCACACTACTAAATTTGCATGCTAGAATGAAGTCCTTCCTATAAAGACGAATGCATGAAAATGCTGGAATCTCGGACACAAATGTTGATTAATCATAAGAAATGTTTATTTAAAAAATGAACATATATAACTCTAGCACTTTTCAGCGTTTAATAAAAATTACATTCTATCATCTTTATTAGCCGTCTACAAGCTGGGCTTTGTTCCAATCCACTCTTAATAGACTAGAATAAATCTAGTGGACTTATATCAACATAATTATAAGTACATTTTATTTTGTTTCCACATGGGGTTTACTATAGCTCACTTTTATTAGTAATAAGTATAGATATAATTTAACGAGATTTTTCTTGAATTAATTTAAAACAAATGTATTTTTTGGATGCAGGAAGGCATCTCCCTGGCGCACCGCGGCACCAGCCTGGCAGTGCAGAGCAGCAGCAGAGGTGTGTCGGAGCACTACTCCTGCACCGCTAAGAACGTCGTGGGTGTCGCTACGGCCAACTTTACCCTCATCGTCGTCGGTGAGGGGAGCTTATGGTTAAAGCAACGTTAAAATAGTAGGAGGTCAAAGTTAGGGTGAAAATAACTAATGGAAAATATTGTTATACCTTCTTCGTTAACATGGAAGGAACCTTACAGTGAAATCTAAGTGAAAATAAATAATTTGCATTCATTGTCGTTGTCGAAGGAAGCTTATGGTCAAAGCAGCGTCAAAATAGTGATATACCTTCGTCGTTAACATTGAAGGAAGCTTAAAGTGAAATCTGCCGAAAAAAAAATAATTTACATTCATTGTCGTTGTCGAGGGAAAAATTGTTAAAGCAGCGTTAAAATAGCAATGCTGATTTCTTCAATGATTTCAAAAATGATTCACGAGAGGATACGTAGTTTAATGAACGCATTTTAATCAAACTTGTTTATTTTATTGCTTAAATCATGCAAAAAGAGGTCATGATGATCCATTAGAAGTAATTTGTCAGCCTTTACATCTAGTTGAAGTTAATATAATATCCGCTGACATATTTTTCATACATATTTTATACACAACTTATCTGTTGAATATAATCTTGTATCGTTTTTTGTTTACTTTACTAAAGAAAGATATTCCATTACAAGTCAAATTCATCCCTGTACGACAAACTTCGTTTCTCGCTAATATTTGACGATTAAATTAGTTCTCATTCTATTGTCCATTTCTAAGCACTCCACATTTCAGTCTTTTCATTTTCCCCTCAGGTGCCGTTCAACCAATTCAGTCCCACAATGCACCACCCTCACCACCACCACCACTATCACCACGCGGCGCACCACCTCCACCACGCGGTGCACCACAGCCACCAGAGGACCTGGTGGTGCTCGGTGCGTTCAACACCACAGTCAAGCTCGGGGGCAACACGACACTGCAATGTACCGTCACCGCTGACCTCACACCCAAAATATCGGTAAGTATTAACTCCTATATCGTTCAATAATTGTATAATGCAATTTAGTATTAATCAATAATTATTTACAATTGAAAGTGATTGTATTCATCGCTGTGGGTATCATCAATTTACGCCACGATTTCCGCGTTTTATTATCACTAAATCTTAGTCCAATTCCTTATTATCCGGTGTATATTTTTTTATTGATTCTAAGAAACTGGCATATTTTAAGGTAGGGTAAATTATCACACAAATGTAAGCTTGCATTTTCGAGCCTACAATTTTCAAAGGTGATTAATAAATTAACAAGCTAATTTCTATGGTCATTAACGTGCTCCTAAACCACACATTTTTTATGGTATCAATGGCATCCACAAAAATGAAAGAAACTAAAGCAGTTCATTAGTACACTAATAAATTTCATTTCTATTGAACAGTAAATCATTCTATAGAACCAACATACGCACTATAGCGGTTCATATATACGCTGGTACCGGATACTGTCGCGTACATGCGTAAAGTTTCTCCCATTCATAACGCAGCTCCAATTTTCTGCTTTATTCCACCCGAGGAAAAAAGTTAGGGAAATAAGCACGCGTTGCCTGAGTACACCTCAGTAACTTTCATCATTTGGATTAGTTCGACAGACTCGCTTATTGCGAACTTATTGGCTCAACTTGAGAGTTGCCTTCGGCAGGCTTACCCCTGCAGATTGTCAGAGCCTTAGAGGGGGAGAAGCAAGTGTCCTTATTGGAGGGGGTAAACTGATTCTAGGGAGGGTGGAGGAGGATGACTGATTCTGTAGTGAGGGTAAGAGGAGAAAGACTGACTAGGGAGGGTGGGAGGGGGATGACTGATTCTAGGGAGGATGGGAGTGGAAAGACTGAACCTAAGGAGGGTGGGAGTGGAAAAATATTGACTCTAGGAGGGTGGCAGGGAATGATTGATTCCATGGAGGGTAGGAGAGGAAAGACTGACTCTCTGGGAGGGTGAGTGTGGAAAGACTTGACTCTAGGAAGGGTGGGAGAGAATTTTTCCTGACATGCAAGAGGGGAGAAGGAGGTGACCTAAATGGGATAGCATGCCTTGCCGGAGGTGAAACAGAGGGGAAGACTCATGGATAGGGTAGAAATTGATAATGTTCTTGGAGAGAGGGCAATAGGAAAACGGAAAAGGAATGATGATAAAACGAGTTTCGCAGACTTTTTTGAATGGATCCAAAAATTGGGATGTTTTAAGAATCAAAATGCGAGCGATCCGCTATAGTTTATAAATACAGTGATAAATACATCACTGTACATCAGCATGTCACACGACCTATAAATCATATTGACAGAGCATATGGTGCACAGGTTATCATATTTAAACCTTCTAGAGCATTCAGCTTTACATAGTTGTGAAGAAGATATATCGAGTGCAAAGTCTGTGTGTGATCAAATTACTTTGAAAGTTCTGGTCTCAAACGTCAATGCTTTCGGATTCAGAGTTTTGAGCTCTAAATTTATTTTTCCACTAAAAATTGTTAATAAATAGATTTTCTGTTTCATTGCCTTCTAAAAATATAATTAAGTTTTTATATCTACTTAGTAAATTTAGTAGTAATATATATACTTGCATTCTGAAATCTTGAAGTGATGACCAAGTGCTCCAAATTTTATATTCTTCAAATTTTAATATGGCAAAATTTTAATAAAAAAAACGACTTATAATTCTCATTGTCCATGATTCAAATTAAGACGTCAAAATAATATCATAGCGAATCAATAAAATAATACAAAATAAAAATCATCGTTTTAATAAAATTAATTTTAAATACGTTTTTTAATAAAATACATTTTATTTGTTGCAGTGGTTGAAAGAAATCCCACCTTCCCCATCACATAAGAACAACAGAACCATGAACCTGGAAAACAGGCTCTTCTTGATCATCAAGTCAACGGTGTCACCTGCGATACAGCCCTCATCGGACGCCACGAAAACCTATTTGTTCAATTTAGAAATCGAGAACGCACAGTTGGAAGATCAAGGCCTCTATGGGTGCCTTGGTGCAAACGCTCTGGGCTACTCATACAGAGAAGCGTATCTCCGAGTAATAAGTGGTGAGTTTTCCATTTTCGAGACATAAATGGTGTTTCAAGTTTTCAAGACATAAATGGTGTTTTCCGTTTTCGAACCATAACTAGTGTATTCCGTTTTCAAGACATAAATGGTGGGTTTTCCATTTTCGAGACATAAATGGTGTTTCAATTTTTCAATATATAAATGGTGTTTTCCGTTTTCGAGCCATAAGTGGTGAGTTTTCGGTTGTCGAGACAAACGTTTATTTTCGTTTTCGAGTCAAAAGTGGTGGGTTTTCCGTTTTCAAGACGAAATTTTTTTCGTTTTCGAATCATAAATGGTGAGTTTTCTGTTTCCAAGACTCATAAGTGGTGAGTTTTCGGTTGTCGAGACAAACGTTTATTTTCGTTTTCGAGTCAAAAGTGGTGGGTTTTCTGTTTCCAAGACATAATTTTTTTTCGTTTTCGAATCATAAATGGTGAGTTTTCTGTTTCCATGACATAATTTTTTTTCGTTTTCGAGTCATAGGTGGCGATTTTTCCGTTTTCGAGACATAAGTTTGTTTAGTTTTCGAGTCTTAAGTATTGGAGTTTCGACTACACTGGCAACATTGGAAAGCGTTATATTGTTGTGAATATTTAATGCAAAAATGAGTCGTGATCTTCAATCGTAGTAGTACCCTCATTTCTGACCACTCAGTACTAGAGTGTTAATTAGCTCACTGAAGTAAAATGTGCAGCAGTTCGGCTTATCAGTAGGAGCTGTAGGCCGGAAATTAAAGTCTCATTTCTTAAGGCATTTCTGGAGATTCTTCGAATAGATTGACTCGTCAAAAGAATAGATATATTACAACAGATCAGCCTATTTTTATCATATTCTTTCTATCTTCGCTAGCAAGCAATGCTGATATTAAAAATTACTTAACTCATATTAAATTCATAAATGTCTCATTGAACTCATTTCTGGAAGGACAACATAACGTTACGACTTGAATGTTCTTGTGTTTAGAGCGCCCACCGCCCGTATGGGACGAAGAACTCGTCACAGAATCCCAGCCCACGAAATTGACATTCACCTTCATCATGTCAGCTGGGGTGTCTGTCATAGTACTCACTGTCATCGTCGTCGTGTGCAAGGTACGAATAACGATGGATGATTAATCAACGGCTTAATTAAAATTATGTTTGCTTTCAAATGGGTCTCAGAATACCTGTCAAAATGTCAGAGTACAAAGAAACATACTTCTCTTATTAATTTCTGGTAAGAAGCACATTAAAATATACGTTACCAATCATCGTAATTACTGCCACAAATTAATTTGGATCTTCACAAATTATTTGGAACTCGTGATATACCTTACAGCTGATACAGGTGATATACACCTTACCATTAGCTGTAATAATTTCAGGTACGTGTGCTTGGATGTTTATTATGTGGGCAAAAAAAAACAGATAAATGTCTCATGAAGACGGACTTGCAACTAATATGAGAAATTTTGGAAGACTACAACTGCACAGTGGCCGTAATAATTTCAATGATGTGGGTTTAGTCGGATCTGTATTAGTAAATCCACTTATTACAGCCTTAAATTAATTTGGTTCTCCGCCGAACTGAGAAATATTTTAATTTTACACCTGCGCGGTGACGGTAACAATTTCAGTTTTGCGGATATAGTTGCTTCTGAACTTGGTATCTTACCTATAACTGCTGCAAATGAACTTGAATTTGTACCAATTTCCAAAAATATATTAATTTTACACCTATGCATTGGCTGTAACAATTTTAATTATAGGATGCTGGTTTAATAGTTTTTTATATTCGGACAAGTTCAGCCATTCCCAAAACGTCAATCACTCAACGTTTCTTCAGTGAACTCGTATGCCTTGTGCTCAAGTTTCGAAAACATGTTCCCTACATTTCATGTGCCGAGTAATGAAGCCCAAGTGGCACTAATTAAAGCTCAAAAATAAATTATCCTTCATTTATTTAACCCAATATTACCTTCCCACACCAATAATGTCCTTACCTTTGGGACAGGTTCACTGTAAGTCGAGATCAAAATCTGCTACCACCACCACCACCAAACTGGCGTCCCCGTCGCCTCTCATGAACAAGTACGACGATCCTGCAAGCTTCGTTCCCCTGAATCCTGAGAAGAAAAGCTTGCCAGGCTTGCAACAAGCAATTACCAACAAAATCAATCCAAAACACGACACAATGAGCTCTGACTCAACTCTGCCTCTACCTCCTCCGGTTCTGCACACCGAAGCTAGTTTTCAGGTGATTTAAATGTTACAATAAAAAAATAAATATTTGACTTACTACCTAAAGCCTAAGTCATACCAACTCTGCAATAAGTCTGTATGGCTCTAATTTAAATTTACTGAGATCTTCTCTTTCAATTCAACTTTAGTATGCAAAAATTTCAAGATTCTTCTTCGATGAGTCGCATGAAGTTAATTCTTTTAACTATATTGCACAATTTTTCCATTAGCACGAGAGTCTGGTGTATCCCCCTGGGAGGAGTCGACCACTGCCCCACGGTCCCCGCTTCACTGACCACTACGTGTACCCCTCTGAGAACAGCTATATGGACCCTGGTTATTGTGACCCCTACATGGAGAAGATCGGTCATGAATGTGAATCTCAGAGTAGTTTAGATGTGTACTCGGATGCATTGCACATCCCCCACCCTAACACACCAAACCCACTATTGCCTCCCCAAAATCATCACTCCTATCACAGCGATGTTGGACCTCATTCCTCACCTTCCACGATTCATACTCCGTTGCCGAACACTCCACAATTGACACGGTATCCCGCTGGTCATCCCAGGGTAGCCAACAAGAGTAACGATTCAGGGTTCAACGAAACTAGAAGTAACAGCAAAAGGTCTGACAGTAGAACTACTACAGTTACGAGCAATGCTAACAGTTTACTGAGAGAAGGAGGAGGTCGAGTTCCAAGTGAACAGTACTACAACTCGGTGAGTAGCAGCTACGGAGGTGAGGGTGTGGGAAACTACAGTAGTCCAGTTCAACATGCATATAATAGTTTTCCTGTAAACAATTACCACAGAAATAATCCTAACTCTAGTTTCAACAATATAACACAGTCATCTGAACACAGCTACGCCCAGCTGACCCCCAGGAGTTCCTCGCCAGCAACACAATTCGGTAGAAGTTTCCCGATGACGTCAGACGGACAATCGCAATTTGTGGTGCATTGTAACTTGTAATCAAGTCTGACCAAATGAGCACACTTCGCATATAAATAAATAAATCTCAATTGATTCCTCTTAAACAACAGAAGGAACAATTTGAGAAAATGAATAAATTTCATTTTCAGTCAACTGGAAGTGGGCTATTTTGCGAGCATTAGCGATGACCTCAGAAATGACGGTTTTTGAACACAAATCGCTTACGGAGAAATATTAGTAAGAGAACAGATCTGAAATAAATAGATATGAATGCAATTTTGTATGCATTTTTTTCGCGATATAGACTATTTTTGTCTGCAAATATATAGGTATATACTCGATGCAACGGCTATGATTTTTTCTAAGGTTCCCACTTGATTAGACGTTCAACTTGCGACAGTGGATATAATTACTCTCGCACTTTGCCTAGCTTATGGATGAAAATAGGAAAATCAAAACTTCATGCTTGTATGATCATTTCATCGCATCTTAACTGATAATGCCATCACTAATTTATCATGCTTAACTTAAGGCAATTTTGTGAAATCTGGAGTAAGATTCAATTACGGTACCTTCGTCGCAGAAAAAAACAATTTAAGTTTCTATGTTATTCAAATAGTAATAGTCGTGCGAGATGATAGATGTGAAGTTAATGGAAGCCCATCATCATTCAAATATTGAATACATTTTAATTTAAATTCCGTTACTTGAATACGTGTCAAGTAGGTGAACGACCATTAGTATTTACTAAAAATATTGATAAATGTTTTTGCCTCTCCTCGTACGATTCGGATAGGTGATCTACCTTCACATTTACTGAGCTATCATTATTAATTTGTAAAGTCCAGTTTTTAATGAGTTCATCTTCATATGATCTTTCTAACTGATATGCGATTGTACTGTTGAGGCATTCTAGGAAGTGATTTCGTATTTCCGTAATAGTTAACTTTTCAAATATGAGGGAACATTTCCCGAACATCTTTTCAAAGTGAGTGTAACCAGTGCAAGATGGAAAGTGTGTATTGGATCAACGGTACTGTATAACTTTTCATATCGGTCTTCAAGGAAGTTGATTTTGAACTTTAGAACGGTTTTGTAACCAAACAATACACCACCAAGTGATCCTTCACGTCTCGTCCATTCAACTGTCTCGACCGTCCTTTTCGATGCATTTCCATACTGGACTCAGAACCCAAACGGTCGTTTTTTCTATACTAAAGTTAGAGAAGCATGCATGAAACAGTGTCGTGCATAGCGACCATCTTCTTGCCTACTTGAGATAGAGCAGTAATATTTTTCTACTCGTTCGTACTTTGAAGCTAGACAGTCGAGTAGCGGACGTAACAAAAATGAACAATTTCTGAGATGAAATTGACTTCCCTATTGCTTTCACATTCCCTATTCCTTGCATCGATCTTATCTTCTTTATAATGTCACATTTCCGAAATATTTATTATCAATTATGCATTAATCTGTTGTAAACAATAATACCTCATTTTCTAGTCCTTACATTGCACATGAAAAATGTTGTAACTCATTAGATTGAATTGGTCTCGCATGGTGTTCGTTGTATCCATATTTATGATAATTAATTGTCTCGATGGATCAATTATTTTAAATGTCTAGTAATCGCTCATTGTTAAACAAAACTAATGTTTTTAGCGAGATAATTTAGTAATCTTGCTAGGTTGGTTAGTGATGTACAAGTACAACTGTGTGCTGATCTCGGCAGTTCTGAGCCAAAGTCTCTTGCTGTTCCCACCCCTGAACGTTGCGGTGAACAGAATCACAATGTAACCTGGGCACGTGTAATTTACCCCTAGCAACGAATTGTGAAAATTTCCGACGTAAAACATTAGCGTTACATGTAGCGGAACTTCTTGGCAGATGAAGCAGAGGAATTGATTTAAATTCAACTAATGCTTTATTTCACTCTAGCGCCTCTGCACTTATTTTGTCATTTGAATATCTTAATATTATCTGAAGTACCGTTGCTAGAACGCCAAGCCTCCAACTGAAACTAGTCATCGTTTATGATGAATTATTTTATTGGCCGCTAGTGTGACCATATCGGACTTGGGTTTCACGATGCCGGTTACGACACACGATGTCAAAAACGTGTTCGCCGTCGTACCTGCAGATCTCATTAATCCCAATCACCCAGAGATCGCGGAATAACGTTTTACAATAAAAAAAACTATAAATTTGTCAGACCCCTTCCTCAAATGAAGTTTAAACTGAGTTTCACTCCTGGTGTCGTTCTTAAAAGATTTTAGCCAAGTCAATTGATTTTAAATTATTTTCCTATTTGTTAAAGATGTATAAACATATCGCTTACGCATTTAGCGATCATTGTTCAAGCGCTTTGATGAAGCACGTAGGCGCCAGAGATTGTGTAGCGCGTTGTTCGCATGAGGTGATGAGGGTCAATGCGATGACGACATGATCGCGTTTTGTTGGATCCATGCCATATATTCCTTTGTCATAATCATTGTAATTAATGAGAAACAATGCTAGCAGTGAAAAATATTGCTGATGTCCTAGACGTCATTGGTTCGAGACGGTCAACGCAACGTTCAGGCCAGGAAGATTGCTATGGCTCACCGAGCATCATCCCTTAAACTGAACCTGCCAATAACTTACGATGTCATCGACAAACTTCCCCTGTACTGGTAGCATAATTTTATGTCATTTCAGGGAGCATTTGTGGTCGAAAGCACCCGTCATCTAACGTGTAAATTGTGGATAGTTGTTTCCAAGTGTTTTTCATGGTGTCAGAAGAAGCATCTACTTTTCATGTTTTAAAAAATTTACGAATATAAATAGAATTTTTTTGACACTTCATTCATATATTTTCCCAAATTAGATAATACAGTAGTGATGTATAATGGTTGAAATAGGGAACTGAAATATATTGTGAACCTTTTTTATGCAATAATTTGATTCTTGAATATTCCAACCGTAAGCCAAAACGGTCGCAAAAGTAAATACTTGATTAATTGATTGTTTCATGTTTACTTTTAGAATTAGTGGATGAAGTTTAATGCAAATCTATAGTAAGATCAGAACAGAATAAAATAATTCCCTACCTCTCCAAAGCTTCGAGTAACGACGAAATTAAGTAACCATAAAATTCAAGGAAAATGTCCGTTTGTACTTTCGACATTTTCCCACAACACTTTTCTATTACGCGAATTGGCATGATATCGTTCAAATATCTCCCTCAGAGCAAATAACATCGAAGCATCGTTTAATCAAGTAAATTCGACGTTTAAACTCTTAATCAATATTGATTTAACGTCAGATGCCTGGTGGGCTTTGACAAAGAAAACTTCGTTCAAAATTATCATAAAATGGATAGATGACAATTATAAAATCAAATTTATTAATGATATTACAAATGCAATTTTTTATCAGAATCCATGCTAATTTTTCTCTTAGTCAACGTCGTAAATCTGTTCACAAATCTTGGCAAGTAAAATCAGAAAATTCTGCGTAGTGCAGAGGCTCTTCCCGGCATGGTTACCCAAATGCTGTAGACGGCATCAGATCATTATCAGTTCTGAATATTCAGCTATAATTATTCAATTTGATGCACGAGCGCCCTAAACCATCAGAACCCTTCATTTTTTTTGTTACTTCGCAAATGCAATAGGATTTATATAATAGAGTATATGCATCCTATTTGTTTTACTAATATTTTTATGCAACACATTTAACCTTAAACTATGCATATTAAACCTTAATGTGTAACAGAGATTTAAATATTAACGTCATTATTTTAGAAAAATAATAACGTGCATTTGACTAATTTATTATTTTTATGATAATTTATGTTCGATTTTCATTGTAACTTGAATGTGTTGAGTACGGTAATTCACAGAAATTAATCATTGCTTCAGGCACTTGGTAAGGCAAAAATTTTAATCAATAAACCTTGTTTTTTCAATAAAAGGGAATGTTGGCATACCCCAATCGATTGAATAATTAAGTAGTAACTAAGTTTTTAAACAAGAAGCTTCAATGATGATAGCAAGTTACAAGAAAGTTTCCTAATTACGGGTTCCAATCAACGTTCCGCATTATTCATTTAGTTCTTCAATCGCGTAAATGTATTCATATAAATGAACCCTGCTGTTTTTCCTCTGTAACATAGACCCCACTGTTTAATGTTTGCATTAAGAGTAATTGTTTATATTCGTGGCATTTGTTCGTATACTAATTGATGTGCATCCACATGAAATGTCAAACTTAATAAAACGTATTTTTGTATGCAAAGCATTTTTTCTGACCGAATGTCTTGAACAATTTTCATTGCCGGATTTTTCGTGTCATCCGTGTGTTCGAAAGATATAACGAACCAAGAAACGAATCGGAACAAAAACTGCATCATTATTCACAAGGAGGCAACCGAAAAAAATGAAAATTTAGCATTAGAATATGTTTCACACGAACACGATTGCTCAATGAAACGTTTAGTACGAGAAATTTAAAGTGGGAAGAACGTGACAGCTTCGAAGATTCTTTTTTCAGCACGATATTAACAACCAGCAATGACGACAACGTCAACTGGCACGGGTTCACAACTCGCTAAACAATAAATTTCTTAATTAACAGACCAACCCAAATAAGTTCTATTTGCCGCAACGCAACATGAATAATAATAATTAATGAAGCATAGCCTGCTCAAACTATCAACTTTCAGTCACTGTAGCAACGCTACGGCGAGCGTCACTCAGCCCTGCTATGGTCGCTCGTCTCCCACAGCTCATTATTCGGTCATCTTCCCAAAGAGCGGCTGCTTCTGTCGTCAGATTTCGTCCTTTGTTTATCCTCAAACTATAACAGATTAAAAATATTTTTGTTCATAAATTACAGAACTAATTCAATTTGCCGACATATTTTTATAGTTGTTCCTTGAGTCATATGTTCCTTCATATAGAAAGAAATACCTTTTCCGTTAAAATTATTCTATCACAGCGCGAGTTCTTAAAAGAAATTAGCCATAAACTCTGATTAATATAATCTAAAATCAGACAATTATATACATGCCTAATTTGAAGTTTTATTCATAAGCACTTATCGGAGGAAAATAATTGCCGGCATGCCGAAACCGCCTGCAATATTTTTCAGAGGAACGAGGTTCCGCCCTGGCAGTTGAAGGCTCATAACATGTAAAGTCAACAAGAAGGAGCTTACGTTACGAATCTCACTCCACACAAGAACCGCGTACAAATAATGGAGTCAGCAAGTATGAAATTCCGGTTTGAAACGATACTTAAAAATAGATTGTTGACAGGTTAAGATAATATTGTTAGCGGGACAGCTGAATAAAAAATTAGTGAAGCATTGAATTGGAAGCTGATTAGCATTAGCAATTTGGAAGCTAATTTGGACAATATCGCGCTAAATTAAGTTTGAGTAAACTAAGAAATACTTACATAAACTTACGAACATGTGCGCACAAAATTTCAGTACAAAGAGAATCCCACAGCATGGAACCATGAAATAGGGAGAATTAGTAGCAGAACAATGTATTTTCACTGTATTGGAAGATCTCAAGGCACATTGACACGAACTAATATTTTTCATAAAATTGTGCATCAATTTTGCATACATAAAAATTATACATGATCCCGGTGAGAAAGAGTTCAGTTAAAGTCTTTCGAAAAGTAATTTATGCGTTGTTTAAAGAGAGTTTCGTAAACCTATGGCACGTACATAAACTCCGGATTGGGAAAGGCCATACATCCAAGTAAAGATAGTTACGAACCAATTATTTTTTAACCATTCTCTTATCACAACACACAAACAAACACATATACACATTACCATTCACGCTAACAAATTATACAAATTCCAATACAATTAAATAATGGAACAAAAATCAATAACTCATAATTCCCAACAAACAACAGGTACAGACGCAGAAGGTAATTGGATCAGTGATCATGAACGGTGCATCTTCATTTCTTAATGCGTTTAAGTCGCTTCTAAGGGGCGCAGAATTAAATTACCTTACAAATTAAAGGAGTGCTTTAGACGACTCGACTCATAATTAAATTTTATGCGTAAGCATCAAGAAGCGTGCAGCCAAAATTAGCCAATGCCCTGATGTGAAACTCAGTCAAAGCATCGCGATTTTAAATATTTTACATAAAAAGTGATCAAAAACGTGTCACGGAACATTACGCAAAATGCTATCCTGTTGATTTAAATTAACATGGACAAACTGCACTCGCCAATGGAGGTATAAGTAACAGACACTGTCTGTACAACAGACTGTTATTGACGTTGTGTATAAAACAGCCCTCATTCATGTTGAACTTATTTTAGTTTGACAACGCAATAATATTCATATAAATAAGTTGATTTTTCCCGAGTCATATAAATAAAACGAACAATAAAATGCGATGTCTGTTCAGCAGCCGCTGCAGGACAAATGAGGCTAACAGACAAGCATGCGTATCCTTCGCTTTACGAGTTTTATCTCGAGACAGCCAAGCGTTATACGAGCACACTTCATACAGGAGCTCGTTAGCACTGCTTACTAATTACGTGCGAGCGATACGGAAACGGGGCGAGCGATACGGAAGCGGGGCGAGCGATACGGAAGCGGGGCGAGCGATACGGAAGCGGGGCGAGCGATACGGAAGCGGGGCGAGCGATACGGAAGCGGGGCGAGCGATACGGAAGCGGGGCGAGCGATACGGAAGCGGGGCGAGCGAT